AAAAAAAAAAAAAGAGGAGAGCCCTGGTGGGGCAGGAGGATACTCAATTCACTGCTATCTGCTAATCTAGTGGCTAAAGCAAGGCTATCTTCTCTTGAAAGACTTGCTGTGTTAGGAACCCTGGGTCGCAGAGATTCCATCCCTATGTGGTAGCATTGAGTTGGAATTAATTCAATGGCAGTGGTTTAACATCAATTCTTTCTAATTGTTCAGATCTAGGTTTTATCTGAACAGTATTTTATTTTCTTAAATTTTCTAACAGTTTTATTGGCATATAATTCACATACCATACAATCAGATGTCGGTTTTATCACCAAACTCTCAGGAAACCTTTTACTGACCTCTGGGGATAAGTTAAAATCCCACCATCAAATGATTTTTTTTCCAATTTAATAGAGTTGTAATTCTTCATGTTCAAAAATAAGTTTAACTTTAAGAGTTAACTCTAACTCCATCAGGACAAGGAAATGTGTTGGATGACTAGTGTAATCTTATGTAACAAGAATAGCGGTAGCAGGTATGCATAGTACCAGGTGTTCATTAAATATTTATTAGAAGTAAAGAAAGAGGTCCTAGCAACAAGGTTTTTGTATTCTTAAGAGATAAAAATAAATTGAGATTTAGTAAACTAAATAAGTAAGTCCCAGCATACAAGGCTCTATTCTAAATCATTACAGGTTCAGGAGGAGCAAAGCCCTGCAAATTGCCACCACTTTTTGAAAGGGCTGGAAATTGACCTCGTTCTTCAAGAATAGATGGGATTTATAAAGACCCTTGCAACAAAAGTTAAATTCAAGATTTCCTGAGAGTATAATCCAATCATCCCAGTTATGTACAGGTATCCCTGGTGTCAGAGTGGTTATAGGTTGGACAGTGATCTGCAAAGTCAGCCCTTCGAAACCACCACCACTCTGTAGGAGAAAATGAGGGTTTCTACTCTGGTCAGAGTTACAGTCTCAGAAGCCCACAGGAGCAGCTAGGTCTCCATCAGAATCAACTTGATGGCAATGAGTAGGAGTTGTTTACACAGAGAGTAGGAGGATATTTCGACATTAATAAACAAAGAAAAATGGCCTTCAGCGCTAAATTGGTACTGAATGTATAGAAGTACGTGACAATTCTATTATATTTCGACATCCTTGGTTTTTTGGGGGTTTTTTTGCTCTCACCATTTAAATGGGACCCAGCTCAACAGAGCACTGCGGAGACCTAACAGTGAGGACTCCGGCATTCACCGGCAGACCCCTGGAACTCTACCACAGGCCTCCACCAGTGGTCGCTCAGGGTTGTTTCCAGTTTCCCATC